GAATCGTATTTTTTGAATTTCTTTTGGTGGGTTCAAATCCCATCTTATCCACACAAGATTTTTCTTTTTTTTTTTTGAAATCCATTTTTTATAAGATTTAAATCTTCAACAATAAGGCAATCGTTTTTGAGAAAAAAGATCTATTCCTAGTCGGTTGCTTATAAGCCTGTATAAGTTCGATCAGACGTTATCAGTCATATGAGCAATATCGATCCGCGAAAACTTGAGCTATGCTTTCTTAGTTTGCTGACAATACCATTTACTGCACTTGGATCTCTATATCACATGCCCGCAAAGGACTAGTGGCTGGTGCCGTGAASACTTCTGGGTACTGGATGATTCTGACTGAGAACATTGGAATATTTGATATTGTTGCGTCATCTATGGCGCAAAATCAAATTTACAAGTAATGTGACATAACGCAATACTATTTATTCTATAGGCTGAAAAAGGGCAGAACCTGCAATCATTTAAATGTTATGTAGAGAACACCATTCTAGTTTCCATGAAACATTCCATTTTCTTTTGGCTAACATTGCAAACTTCTTCAGCTGTACTACTCCTCTGTGCATGATACAGGCAACCCAGTGAACGCCTATAGAGCGTTCTGTTAACATATATAATAGTTATAACATTTTTTATCCAACGAAAGAAAATATAATTCAATAGTTCGTTAATGTTTCCTTGTGTGAACTATTTTGACAGGGTGTCACAAAGCATACTGATAATATATTGAACGACGTCGATCAGTTGTTAGATCACGTGATCAATCAGGTAGGCAAAGCCCCTCTGTGTTCATTGGTGGATTTATTACTCATTACGCATACAGGTCCATTATGATGTAGGTCGTTGTATGCCCATCCATAACATGTACCATTCACTAACATCTTACTTATTACACATACAGGTCCGTTATGATGTAGGTCGCTGTAGGCCCATCCATAACATGTACCATTCATTAACGTTTTACTTATTACATATACAGGTCCGTTATGATGTAGGTCGCTGTAGGCCCATCCATGACGTGTACCATTCATTAACGTTTTACTTATTACATATACAGGTCCGTT